TGTGTGTGTGTGTGTGTGTGTGTGTGTGTGTGTGTGTGTGTGTGTGTTTAGGTACCTGGAGACGTTGCTCCGTCAGGTCAGCAACGGACACATCGCCTACTTCCCCGCCATGAAGGCCTTCGTCAACCTGCCCACGGAGAACGAACTGACTTTCAACGCTGAGGAATACTCCGACATCTCCGGTACTGACCCGCACACACACGGCCTCATCTGCACACTTTTATATTGTTGAAAGTTATAGCTAAAGACTCTGTTGACTTGTGTTTTGTAGTGATTTTTTGTATTTGTTTTGTGTTGTTTTCACAGAGATGCGTTCGCTGTCTGAGCTGTTGGGGCCGTACGGTATGAAGTTCCTCAGCGAGAGTCTGATGTGGCACATCTCATCACAGGTCGCTGAGCTGAAGGTATGTTTACACAATCACATAGACATACGCATACATACAACATAAAAGAGGTTTGTACGTCTTTGTTTTATTGTATTTTTACTGCTTTTGATAAATGCTGAGCTACTGTCTGATCTGGTTCTACGGACACTTTCTGGTAACTTTTATTTATCAGGAATAAATAATAATAATCAGAACTCTAATATGAGGAATAAAGGCCTCAACACTAAGATGAACATCTTTAAAATATGAAAATGAAAAGGACGATCTGACTGTATAAACATAAAGTTAAAAATGATTTTTGAGTTTATTGCTAACTGTGTTTGTCTCCATGTAGAAACTGGTGGTAGAAAACATGGAGGTGTTGACCCAGATGAGGACGAGCTTTGACAAACCAGAACACATGGCCGCCCTCTTCAAGAAACTCACCTGTAAGCGCGCGCACACACACACACACGCACATCGGCTGCTGTCCTGACTTGTTTCATGTCTGTGTGAAGCGTCCCAGCATTGATTTGTTCACACTTGTCTTCACTGAAAGACGAGTAGAAGTCAATGCAGACACTCTGCAGACAACGGCACAACAAAAGCCTCATAAAAACATAATAAAACTTTATTTGCTTGTGAATGAAAGCAGCAAATGAAGGATGAATTTCCTGTTGGATGGTTTGATATTTACAGTTGTTGTTGTTGTTTTTTTGTAGCTGTGGACAGTGTGTTGAAGAGAATGACCATCATCGGAGTCATCTTGTCCTTCCGCTCCCTGGCTCAGGAGGCCCTCAGAGATGTAAGACACACACACACACACACCACATTGGTATGATTGATGGTCACACTAAGTCCCGTAGATGGATACAGTTGAACTTCTAGTTCTTGGACATAAAAGCACCGTAAATGTGACATTGTTGATTCTTTTTTAATATCTCTTCCCGGACCGTCTCTCTCCAGGTGCTATCCTGTCACATTCCCTTCCTGGTCAGTTCAGTGGAGGATTTCAAGGACCACATCCCCAGAGAGACGGACATGAAGGTGAAACACGCTCCCACACACATAAAAATAGAGTAACCTCTTCACCCGATGTCAGTGTAGACTCCACGTTCTCTCTCTCTCTCCTCATGCGTATGTATGACTCTCTGGTCTGGTTCCAGGTGGCCATGAATGTCTACGAGCTGTCGTCAGCAGCAGGTCTGCCCTGTGAGATCGACCCGGCTCTGGTGGTGGCTCTGTCCTCGCAGAAAAGTGGTGAGACGCGCATGCAGAAAGGTGATCTGAATGTGGAGTGCGCGTCTGGAGCTCCTTTCATCTTTCACGTTAATCTGATGGCAGTTTAACGTCTCGTCTCGTGTTCTGAATGAGCACCTGGTCACTAGATTCCATGTCTGAAAGGAGGTTGTTTGCTTGTGTCTGTGCAGAGAACATCAGTCCAGAGGAGGAGTATAAGATCGCCTGTCTGCTGATGGTGTTTGTGGCCGTTTCTTTGCCGACGCTGGCCAGCAATGTGATGTCACAGTACAGCCCCGCCATAGAAGGTAATCCAACATGCGGTGCTATCTTCTGGTATTCACAGATTATATTTTTCAGACCTTAAACTATAATACAATGTCAAACTACATCATGTTTTGGGCCACACATTTAGCAATAACGTAATAACTTGTGATAATGAATAAAGAAAATAACGAGCTCTTTATCCGGAGCTTGACAGCAGTGCAGGAGGATATAACATAATTTACTGCATCAGTGGCATGAGACTGTTCTGTATGCAAATGAGATCGACCTCATGGCCTCAGATTGATTCATTTGTGTGCACAAGAGCTCCATCATCATCTTCATTATGTACGTTTTTATAAATTGTTGTATTATAAATACATTTTTAAAGGTCAGTTTACCTATTATGACTCGTTTAACCTCATTTGTTGCATGTAAAAAACGTTTTATTGAGTTAAATAAACCTGCAATAGAGCCACAGCGCTGAAGTTAAATGAGGCTTTCTGTTCAGGTATCGGAGAGATTTGTCACTCGAGGATGAATTATTAAGACGTCGCTTCTTAACAACCTTGAAATGAGAGGCGCCGTTGTTAATAAGGGACATTTGAAAAGGATAATGAGTTGTAATGGGCTTCACCGTTGTTAGTATGCAGACCGCATATTGGCCACCGATTGGTTTTCCAGCAGCGCGTCTCGAAACATGGCGCCGGTGCAGCCACACTCGCTGTGTGAACTTACAATTACACACTTTTATATTCACATTTATGCATCTCACACACGCACACTTAATTTGCATGAAATACAAAATAAGGAAATCCATATTTTCCCCGCTTAAATTGGTACTTCCAGGTTTTTTATTGTGGAGAGTCTCTCTGCTGTGGAGGTCTTAAAGAGCCCCACGTGTCCGAATTTAACGCAGAGTTAATTGATTATCAAATACAGATGATGTGTTCTTGATCGCTCACTAACGGCGTGTGCTTGCTGCCCCCTACAGGCCACTGTAATAACATCCACTGCCTGGCCAAGGCCATCAACCAGATCGCTGCTGCTCTCTTCACCATCCACAAGGGGAGCATAGAGGACCGCCTGAAGGAGTTCCTGGCTGTAAGATCAACAGACCTCAGTTTTTGTAACGCATGCTTATGTTCTTATTAAAAATGGCAGAGTTTTTAGGGGGGTACGTGACCACAAAGACACCATTTTGATCCCAGATGGGGGCGATTTGTTGCATGTCACTGTAGCAGCTGGTTTAAAAAAGATGCCAGGATGTATCAGATATGCTGCTGCTACGTTAATGTTATAATCAAGTCACACCCTTTTTAAAATTACATTTGCATAAAGGTAGTTGATATTAACACGCAATCATTTTATGCAGACATTTTAGAAATGTATAAAACATGTGTCTGTGTCTGTGTAGCTGGCTTCATCCAGCCTGTTGAAGATCGGACAGGAGACGGACAAGATGACGACGCGTAACAGAGAATCTGTCTACCTGCTGCTGGACATGGTGAGAGAGAGAGAGAGAGAGAGAGAGAGTGTTTTCACACCTGTAGTTTATTTCTTCAGTGGACTACATTGACATTGTTGCTTAATAACGTTGATGACGTGGAAGAGTGACCCAACGTGGTTCTGCCACTGATGCATCAGGAGTTATTCATATTTCTCTTATCTAAAATCTGTGTGTTGTGTTTCAGATTGTGCAGGAGTCTCCCTTCCTGACCATGGACCTGCTGGAGTCCTGTTTCCCTTACGTCCTGCTGAGAAACGCCTACCACGCCGTGTACAAACAGAGCATCAGTGCTAACGCGTAGACGCTCACTAAACGCACAGCGAAGGCCTAACGTGCCGTCTACCGTCAGAGCGTCGGAGCTCGTATTTAGACGCACACACGGCAACAAATACACACTAACGGCATACACTAAATACACACTAAACTATGCCTACAATGCCTCAATGTTAATATTCCGACAATACAAAAAGCATCCGCGTGTGACATGTACACTAAAATGTTGACACACTAAACAAGTTCTCTCTAAATACAGAACCAATACACTATAAACACCAAAACAACACAGAAAAACTCCCACAATCCAGTGCACAAAGACGAGGAGAAGACACTGACATTACGAAATGAACAAAAACACACACTAGCTGGATGAAGTCGGGGGATCGGTGTCTTTATTTTAATCATTGTACTTTTTCATTGACGTTGCCAGGGACCACAGCAACACGTAATATACCATATGTTTGGTTGGTATAAAAGAACAAAAATATAAATATATAGTATATATATAGTTGACACTAAAATATTTTTTTCTTCTTTTTTTCTTCTTTTTCAATGAAAGATTTGAGCTTTTTAGTGTCCAGCTGACAAACTTCTATGTGGTGGTGGATTTGGATGCTTACTTTGGGAATGCAAATGATGTGATGTGGACTTTTATTTTGTTGCTTTTGCGGAGGAAGAGTTCCTGTGTTGATAATGAAAGACGTGTTGCTTGTTAATGTAAGTTTACATACTTCTCTACACACTGACAGACATCCTAAGCAGATAAACTACAAACTAACACTTCATAGTGAACACACACACACACACACACACTCTTGTATAACATGGTGATGTTTTTCTTTCTTTCTTTTTTCAAGCTAGTCGTAACTTGAACTTTTTGTGGGTAAAGATATAATATCTGTATTCTACTTTGATGTGAACTGAACTCGTCTTTTTTTGATGTTTTTGTTATTTTCACGATGATGACTATTTTGCCAAATGTGTTGACACTAAAAGTTGTGAATCAGGGCTTGGAAGTGTTTGGGTGTTAATGGGTGAAAAATAAATGCCATTTTTAAGTGTCGGGGGCGGTTTGGACGATGAGACGGTCTGCAGGCAGCTTGGTTAACAGAACGGGGGGGGGGGGCGGCGTCACACAAGAACTTCTTCAGCGGGAAGAAACTTTAAAAACAAAACACAAAAAGTACTGCGGTAATACTACGGTTTATACACGGAGCAGCCAGAAAACCTTCAGTATGCTGCAAATATTCCTCACAGCTGTTGTTAGTCAACTCTCTGATTAAGTAAAGGTCCAGTAGGTGCTACTCTTTTCTTTTTTCTTTTTTGTAAAGTAGAAATGAACAGCGATGATAATTTATAAGTTCTCTTTCAGAATGAGTTCTGCAACTTCTGGCTTCTGAAAAGAGGAAGACATTCTGCTTTTCTGTGTTTTTTAATTTTTACATTTGCAGTCTTGTAGTGCTGGCTACCAACAGGCCCTACTGAACCAGCCGTGGTGGTGGGGGCGGGGGATAGTGCCTTGCTCAAAGGCACCTTAACAGCAGCTGTTGAAGGTCCACCACCTAGTGTTTAACTTTCATAGGAGCAATTCAATTAACCCATTCCTCCACAGCGAAACAAGTAAAATCCTAATTGATCTCAGACCTGTGAACGTCTACAAAAAAACCTGGAGCTGCAATAAGACAATAAAATAAATGTACATATAAATACACTCTTGGTGATGTTTTCACTGGATTTGTGGTCAATGGGCATCCTTCAATAAACTTTCCGTATTAGCAGTTACATTTTCGCAATGGTTGTACGGGACCCTTTTAGGACAGGCGGGTGACTTTTACAAAGTGCGGTCTGCTTTATATATATTTTGTTTTTGTCAATCAAGTCATTGCAAGGGCTACGTAATGAGACACACACCATGCTCCCGTTATGCCAGCCCTCTGCTAATGTATCAAACACCAGCTTCTGTCTGAAGCGCTCGTACTGCACACTATTCAGGACTATACGCTCCGGCTGTTAACATCTGGAAGCAGCGGTTACAGTATGTAGCAGGGATACACTAAAACGACGTGTCTGCACTTTACAGTAGATCACAAGTCTTATTTCTGCCGTGTATTGTAGTCGGTAGTTTGCATTATAAGCGTGTGAGGACAGATTCATGGAAACATTCTGCCATTTGATGTGGAATGATTGTTTTTCTTTCTAACCTTTTTTTTGTGTGTGTCCCTGATTTCCTCCATGTAACTTAAATTAATGAATAAAAACTTAAACTTTAGGGCTGTGTCAGACCTGAGCTGTGAGTGTGTGACGGTGGTTCGTGCATGTGGCCTCGGCTGAGATGTGAGGTGAGAACATGGTGAGTGGCAACACTTAATAAAAAGATGATGATTGTAAGTAGTGCCATCGGTTTAACCCTGTTGGATCCTGTATCTCAACAGACTGCTTACATTGTCACATTAGTCACTTAAAACAGGGTTTCCAAGTGTGCTTGAAAACCTGGTAAACAGTTGATCAATTTTCCAGTCAAAGAAAACGCGTGTGAGAGAAATGTCCTTGTGTTTTACTGGAAAATTATTTAAACTTTGTCCTATTTTCCTCTAACTATAGGCCATCTATCTATCGGTATTCTCTGAAATCGTATAACATTGCCATCTGAAAGAGCTAATTTATGCTCAGGATCATATTATACATTCAATTAGTAGTCTGTGGAGGTATTTAGGCTGCTATATTATTCTATAATAGATTTTTCTTAATTTCTAAACACGCAAGAGGATTTCATATACAAGTTATTGCCATAGATTGCCCGTCTTTTAGTCAAACTTCCACAGATGGGAGAATATTAGTTTGTTGTGCGATCCGTGTCATACCAGCTACATCATCACTAAATTTGTCCTGGAACATGATCTCTAAAAGAAAGTGGGACTATTCCAACACAAAACCTTAGTCTTATAGACCAAATTTAAGATCCTGTTGATTTTGTAAACCAATTAAATCTGTCAACACTCTTAATTGATAAAAGCTACAGGATGAATAGTGAAATCCAACACTCCTTGCTTGTAATATTACATTTCAACTGTGCATTACTTCATTATCAACTATTTCATTTTAGGGTTTACACAAAATGGTTTGTTCCCCTGGCATCTGTCGCTGAAATGTTCTTACTATGTCGGAGAGAATTATTAAACACTACAGTGTCCTACAGAAGCCACCAGGGGGGACCACAACAAAACTAATACCATAATCATAATGGAAGGACGGAGAAGTTGTCGTAATCTTAGGACATTGCAATAGCACACATTTTATACCCTATTATCTGTTATGTATAGAAATCAATGCTGACATTTTATTGCTGTTATTGTGACAAACAGGATTACATACTGCATATACAGAGGAACAAGATGAAAGAACAAATCATTGATTCAACAAAAATTACTTTGAAGTAATCTGATTCATCACCCCCAAATTAATGTTTATTTAAAAAATGAATCAAAACCTGTGCTGGTCAACTGTAAACTGATATTTCACTTGGGATCTGTAAAAGTTGTGAAACCCAAATTTATCGATATAACTGACTTTTTTTCACAGCAGGTTTTTTGACCGAAGGAAAAATCTCATAACAATGATAATCAAATAAGTGCTGGCATCGTTAATGTTAATTACATTGTCAAAATGTTTGCTTTGAAAAATGACTGTAGGCTACAGTGCCTCATAATCCACATTAATGAGCTAAACAGTTATGTTATTTATTGCATTACTTCTTTTTTTTTTAAATAAGTATATTGTAGGTGTTAGCTGTTGTGTCAACCACCTGCAAATTCCTGATCACAGAGTGGTTTATGAAAATTTGGGGAGGGAAACAACCTTGAAAATACCTGCGATATTTCTTCAGTCATGTATGTAGTTAGCAAGCTAGCAATTAGCTAGTTCAGAAACAAATGTTAAACTGTTTTTTAACTGTAAAGATTATTGTTTTTTTCTATTTTAATTTAATTTAGAGTAAACTGACACTTAATGCTGACAATGAAGTAGCTATATCTATAACTGTAGTAACTAACTAGCACTAACGTGTGGTTAACCATTGCTAGCTAGCTATCCTGGCTAAACTGTAGTAGCTAGCTAGCAGAACAAATATAAAATTAAACTTTCAGATTCGGTGCGTGTATTTTGAAATGATAATGACATCAAAGTTATTTAGCTCGCAGCATTAAAACAAGTTATTCCAGGGTTCACGAGTTTCCCGCCAAAAGTGCTAAAATGGCGGCTGTTTGAGGTTAACTGTTGGGATTATGCTTCCACCATATTCATAAACTGAAAACGGGACAAACAAAGGTACATTAAAATGTTGATGAGCATGATATTTGGGGTTAGACATCAGTGGAGTCGTGTTGAAGTGAATGTGCTAAGTCAGCTGTTTCCTGTCCTAGAGTGAAGCCGGTTTGACTCTAACTAAACGTTAGCGGTTTTGTCCATGAACACTCGCGCTGATCGATGTCTGGTTCTTGTAGGTGCTACACTCAAGATGGACGCCAGAGGCCGTCGGTTTGTCCAGATCGGCGAAGATTGGCCGCCACTTTTGTGCTGAGATTTCGTTCCTGAATCAGTCGTCCTGAAGGTTGGCTTCCTCCTCGTCTTCCTCGGGTACAGAACTTTTCAGCTTCCCTACACACACAGATGGGACTAAAATGAATGAATGGATTAATGATTATATATATATATAGATATCTATAATAAAGCCCTATAATCAAGCCCTTTATATCTTAATGGTTGTCCCAATGCTACTAATCCACCCTTGTTTGTGTTACATTGTTTAGGTAACCATCAGACTTTTACGACAATTAACATGATTCCTACATGTTCTCTTCTCTTTTATTATTTGTACGCTGCTTTAACTATAGGTCCACATTCTTCGACGTAGAAACTGAGTCCACACATCAAAATGTTCAACACAATAAGGAGATGATTTCTATTCCCTTTAGTGTCCGTTGCCTTAATACTTTCCGTGAATATATTCAACATATTCCAGGAAACTTTCCCACATTTAAATGAATGTTCTTCTTGCTTATTATTCTTCTGCAGCTCTACATTATTCAACGTTTAAAACTTCATTCAAACAGCAAAATCTTCAACACATTTAGGACGCTGTTGCTGTTAGATGTAGTGTTCATATCTTTAATACTTTTACGAAATATTCAATGTTTTCCTGGAAGTCAAATAAATGAACGCAATGTTCAGTGTGTGACATCGTTGTTCTTTAAAATGTCTCTTTACTCCCAGTTTTCACTTCTCATACATCATTTTTTTCATTAAAATGTAGAAATGTGTGCTCTTTCAAACAATGTATCTATTGAAACAAGCAGATTTGCATATGTTACTCATCCAACTCTCCCAACTTTCAGGCCCAAAACAGGAAAAGGGGACTTTTCCCCCAAATTTAAAAACACATTTTTACAATATAAAAACCATAGAGTAATATGCTAGACTTTGAGTGTTGCCTCTCAGCTTAATCTCTATTAAATAAACTGTCAGGCACAGCAGTCGCTCAGCAGTCATTTCTTCAGAAATTGTCTTCTGACATTTTCACTTTGTTCCGTAGAAACGTAAAGACCACCGTGTACGTGAAGCAAACCCCCCAAATACTACAAAACTCTTTGTGCTTTAGCTTAAAAATAGATGATTGAAAACCATCTATTAAGATAAAGAATACTCAGACATTCGGTAAATGTTTCAATATAATACATCTTTATTCACAGCCATTTCTACACAAGCAAAACCTCACCAACGTCACCGACAGTAATTTAAGTTGTAAATTGATTTGGTTACGTCGAACTAAAATCTCTTAAGTGTGCATGAAAGAGAAAGAGAGTGAGAGTGAGGAGCACACAGTGTTTATGTGAAGCGGTGTGTTAGTGGGATCAGATGAAGAGCAGCGAGGAAGAGGTGGTTATTTGAAAGACAAACGTGGACTAAAGGTGGCTATCGGGAGACGGAGTCGGGGCTGGACGCTTCCTGTTTGTGGTCACATGACAAGTCTGAGAAAGAGGGGGGGTGTAGAAGAGGAGGGAAAATTAAATCATGCAAAAGCCACAAGACAGGGAGGAGAGAGAGATGTTAGTGATGTTAGTAGTCAAGAGGTTTACAGAATATAGACTGTTATTATGGAAATGTGGACATATTAGTAAGACTGAGTGTGTGTGTGTGTGTGTGTGTGCGTGCGTGCGTGTGTGTGTGTGTCAGTGTTTGTTTTTCCAAAATTATTAAGTTTTCAAATTGTAATACTATATTTTTTGGTTTCATCTACTTTAACTCGTATTGTTGAACAAACTTAAAGCTGCATTCATCAATTTTTGGTGACTAGCGGGCAGAAAATAACAAACAACAAAACAAACAAGCAGACAGACTAATAACGTTAACGTATTAGCTACATTTTTACACATCCACTAAATACAGAGCAGCATTATGAATCATTTTGTGGTATTAAGTTCAATATTTACCCTTATTCTAGCTGTGTTTCCATCCCCGGAGAGACATATTTGTCTCTGAAGCTGCTAGTTGTCTTAAGTTTGTCTGTGGTTCGTTGCTGGGCAGGTAGAGGACAGAGTGTTTATCAGCGCTCTGCACGTGTTGATAAGAGCAGCTCAGACTTAACACTAATTAAAAGAGCTGCAGACTTTTACAAGCAACGTGTTGAAATAATAAAAAATGTTGATTGATGCAGTTTTAAGCTGTTTGTATATAAGGCAAGGGGCAAACTTCATGTGACAAAATTAAATCTAACTTGACCAAAAAACTCCCAAAATCTCTGTTTTGTGTCGGCTCTATCAAATACAATTGTAGTACTACTTTTTAAGTATTTTTTAATAATTAAGAAAAACAAATTGTACTTTTTGGATAACTACGTTTTAATTAAATGAACACTAGTGTGTGTGTATTTGGTGTGTGTATCAGGGCCAACAATGTACTCCAAATGACTTTGAATACGACATGTTCGCACTGTTTAAGTGTGTACTTAAAAACCGGTTTACCCCCTGAACTGTTGCTCTCTGCCATTCCTCTTTCCTGATTGGCTAACAGCAGACCCGCCTCATTCCCATTGGCTTCCTCTGGACCGTTGTGATTGGCCCACAGGGAGGCGGTGGCATAGAGCTGTGCTGTGATTGGGCTCAGCTGGCTGTCTGTGTCACAGAGCCCCGCCCCCAGAAGGTGCTGCTCCACCCCCAGTTGAAGCTCTGAGGAGAGAAGAGCACCCCTAGTGGAGAGACGCTTCAACTACACACACGAGTCGCAACTGAGCGGGAAAAAGCACAAAATAACTAAAATTATAACTTAAAAATTAAACTGACAAAAAACAAATAAACATCCAACGGAAGAGTAGCAAAACAAGTCAGTAGCTTTCCCTGACATCTTGTATGGAACATAAATATCTGTCGCTGGGGAAATTTCCCTCATTCGTAGATGTTTTGGGAACAACAATGCAATTCTTTAAGGTAGTATTTTTCTTGGAGCTACTGCAAGTCTACTACTTCCTCTTATATGAGTTTAATATGTAGACATCGGTCCAGATGCTGCGTCATGAGCCCGCAGAGATTAAATATTTACATAAATGCTACCAAAATGTGCTCAAAAAAATAAATAATTAAAGGCTTTTATGAGTTTAAATAAAAACAGCTTTTTGCGTTTGACATAATAAAAAAACACAGTGTGAGAATAAAACCTAATTAGATTATTAAATAAAACATGTTTTTTTTCTGGTCATGCGGTATATAAATGTAAGCATTTGGTGCATTGGCAGTTACTCATGAGGCTATTAGCTAACTGGCCTACACACACACACACACACACACACACACTCAGAAGGGATCAATAAAAGAAAAGCTTTTACTGTCTCCACTTCCTGGAACTCCGCGCTGCACTCACTGATAGAGAGCTCTGCACACACACACACACACACACACACACACACTTATACACACCTCGTTTTTTCCTCCTTTCTTTAACCCTCTTAACCTGGAACTTTTCCTAGAAACTCATTGAAGTCGAAACACAGCGTGGTGAAAATGAACGCCTCTCTAAACTGTTGTTGTAGCAGCGCTGCTTCCTCTGAACCCCATGTGACAGTTTTATGAATTATTCAGTTCAGGCGATGATAACAAAATGACAACAACAAAGTATTTTAGAGATAGAAGCCATCAGACGCTCTGTTGCACAAACTGTGGATGATCTATATCTATATATACGCTGTATAACTTGCATATCCTGCTCTCCCAAAAGTCAACAAACGAAACATACACTTCTACTACCAATGAAATAATAACTCACAAACAGTAAATATTAGTAATCAACTCGTCTTCATAGCATAAAACCAACTGTCTTCAGTGTTATCAGACACACTGCACACACAAACATGCACACACCGCTTTACCATTCACTCTATATGATATCATTGGTTTTAAGAAATATTCATGAGGCGGTCTGTGAGTAAATTCACATAAATGGACGTAAATGGGATAAATTCCCAGGACATTTACTCTGAAAAGAGATGTCAAATTGTTTCAAATGTCATTTTTCAAAGCTGTGAGCACCACAAACTACATTCCATTGACCTCCATTGTTTTTGGGTGAAGGCTGATATGCTAGAATTTAAAGAATTTAAATTTAAATGAAAGAAAATGTGTTTTTTGTTCCCTAATATTATGCCCAGGATCGGGTAGTAATCAGTAATTGGTTATCAGCTCAAATATTTGTGGCTGTGTCCATTTTCTTTTAGTATGAAGTGCAATATTTTCAAAGTTTGATTGTGATGTGAACTATTCAGATTAGATTCCATTTTTTCTTACTAATTACAAAAATCTCCGTGTAATTTGTGTCCAGTAACTGACTAAATTTAAAAGAAATCAAACCCAATCTCGACTGTGACACAGAACCAGAACGAGCCCACGAGCCACCGAACTAAACCAAACCATCAGAAGTCACCGTCGCTCTCCAGCTGAACCTACACGTCTCAGACAAATACTGAAGAAAACAGAACAGAACGTGGGGGTTAAACCCCAGAAATAGCTTCAGATAACACGGAGAAAGACAAACAAAGTGTAATTAAACAAAACAAACAGAACTTCCACGCAAAACAAAGCAAACACACATGTGGACACAGCTGCAACACAACCACCAGTTCATGACAATAAAGACTTTGAAGAACATTACGGAGCAGCAGACTGAAGGATTCTGTAGGATTCACGGCTCTGAACGGAGAACAGACGTTCACACACTGAATGACAAAGCAGCGGTGAGGAACTCCCCGGTTCTCGTCTTTACTCTCGTGTTTAACATTCACTGAGTGACGTCTTCCAACAAGATGCTCATTGTCGGGTCGGTCACGCCGTGAATCAACTTTGACGGATTCTAATTTCTGAAGGACAAAAGATGCTTCTGTTGCTAGTGAGCCAGAATGAATAGATATTTAGCGTGAAAGACATACGAATTTTAAAAAAGGACCAACAGTGAACTTTCCACAGACGTTTACTGCCACTTCTGCGTTATTTGATGCAAACGTTCTCGTCTCACTTTTCACATTTTGACCGTTAAACCAGTAGATTTCAGAGGAACCTGAGAAGTGAAACGCTCCTCTTAATCATCTCCTCGGGGCTAAATGGACTTCTTCTGCTTTCTTTCTGCACAGAGCATCTTTTATGCATTTTTGCAAAACCTCAGGAGAACCAGGCTGAAGAGTGTCCTGTGTGTTTACCTTTCATGGTGGGCGGGGCGAAGGTGCTCTGCTTCCTCTGAGACGACTCTGAAGTCTGAAGAATAGAAGAAAAACACACATTATGTAATCTGATTTAACCGTCACACAACTAGAACAATAAGCCAGATAACAATCAGTAAATGATGATTCAAAGATATCATAAGCTAACCAACATGCTTATAGATATAATGTAAACAAAAATAGACCATTCTGTTACTTATAAATAAAACCAAACGTCCAATAGGAGACAGGACAGACAACAACAGTGTTGTCCTTCCTGATCTCATTACAGTGAAACAACATTGATTTTCCAGACAAGCCATCATTTATCTCACAGATTACTGTCTGCTTTCACCCTTTTGATGTCAAAACAAATGTGCCAAATGTTAATACAATATTTAAGGAAATGCAGCTTTTAAATCTTTTAATTGAAGACTCACATTTTAACAGTTTAATCAGAGTTTAATGGCAAAGATTTGTCCCTCCTCTGAGAAATCAGTCTGATATTGAAAAGTCAAATGACGGAGTGGAGATGAAATACATTCTCATTCAGTTCCACATTTGAGAAGAGATCATTTTAAGCAGTTTAGGACACATTAGAGGTTACTTCAGGCTCGTATGTCTGAAGCCTTAAATGTGAAGTTCATCCCCCGAAGCGACTCTAAAGCGTTTGTAGCAGATTTCATAACGTTTGTACAAACCTGTGTCTCTCCGCTGGCGTTGTGTTGATCTCCAGCATCTGCAGAGAGAGATGAGACGGCAGCATTCAGCTCTTTGTGTCTGTATTGATTTGTCAGTAGCTCACTTTTATAACGGGATGGCACACTGTCATTATTTTATTACAGTGTCAGTGGGTCTGTTGCTCTCTGATGGTTCAAACCACATCAGTCAGGTTGGGTAGAAAGCTTTGATCGTCTTTTTCCTCTTTCATCAAACTCGGCTGGAAGCTGCTTTCAGAATACGTTTATCTTTGGAACAAAAGTGTATTAATTCCCTTTGACTCACTTTTTCACTTCTGTTTTAAAGCACAAAGCTAGAAGTATTCTACTGTTTTTATTGCCAACAAATCCCATGAAAAGAGGAAAAAAACAACAATATTACTCAATACTCTACAACCTCCCCAGCTCAAGCCCATTGGTTCATACTGAAGAGCTTCAAAAACAACCAACAGGAGGAAATAGTGCATTTGTTGGGGACTATTTTCTGCAGCAGATTAATCTACGTTTGGTGCTCTAGTGAATATTTGGGGCAGCAAGTTGCTGTGTGTGAAATTGAGTCAAAATAAACTACAGTGTGTGTTTATGGTAATAAAGGGACACGTCGGCCACTGAAACTGTGGCTCCTAAACTCCCCTCCAGCTCAATGTTGATGTTTTCAATCTCCGCCACTTCAAAACGCCAACTTTGAGCTGAATGAAGATAAATCTTTAAAAATCTTTAAAAATGACCAAACATGATTCCCACACGTTTCCCTTTAATGTCCCTGAAAGTGAGATACTTTCAGAATTCATAAACATTTATTAAAGACAAAATGCCAAACGTTATTTCAGTAAAATACTGAAAATAATCCTACAACATCTGCACTCTTTGTCACAGTGGTCTTCTTTGTTTCAAAGCTACAAACAGTCACTTCTTGTTTTTACAGCTGCCAGCTGGTTTCCACACACTGACTGGTGAATTGTCGAAATATTTAGAAGTGCACTTCTTTTTAAGGCCATAATAACCCTTAAATTTATAGAGGGACAGAACAAATGTAAATGGAACCAGCCTCTCTGAGCTGAGCTCACAAAATGAAATCAGGCCGATTATTCAATCAGTGGCTTCCTGTGGAGGTTTATAAGAGCGCACACACACACACACACACACACACACACACACACACACACAAACACACACACACAGTAGTGTTTTCATGACTTTTGGGGACATTGCATTGACTTACATTTCTTTCCTTGAGACTTACCTGAACCTTAACCGTCACAGATCCTAACCCTTAACCTGACCTTAAACCAAGTCTTCACCCTAAAACGTCATGATTTACATTATGGGGACGTCCGTGCTGATGAGTCCCCACAATGTGACTGTATTAGATTTATGTCCCCACAAGACATGTAAAATATGCACACACACACACACACACACACACTTTAAGCATCCATCAGTCCAGTCTGAACACTGAGATCACTTACCAAAAGCTACAGCACAAATCTAATAAAGATTCCATTATAGCTGCTGCTTTTCAGCTCTCTCATCTCTCGCTCATCATTTTCTCCCTCTCATCTCTCTCATCTCTCTCATCTCTCTGTCTGTCTGTCTGTCTGTCTGTCTGTCTGTCTGTCTCTCTCTCTCTCTCTCTCTCTCTCTCTCTCTCTCTCACCTGTGCCAGGTTGTCTGTAGATCTGCAGAGTAGCAGGAGTTGGTCTTCTGCGACGGATCTGAGGTAAACACACAAACATATTTGTCATAATATGGTATAAACTTCCCTCAGCCCTCTGATCAAACGTTAACCGTGTACATCAGAACAGAAAGCTTAAACCTGTTTGTTTTAATCCTCTCACTACAGTCTTACTTTTTGTGTTTTTATCGTTTTTTTGGTAACGTGTGATGAGACACTCTTGACTTCTTAACAACTGTCCCAGTAGTTTGGCTTTAAAAATCAGCTGTCTGTCCAACTAAACGTTAAATAAAACCATCAACAGGACTTAATTATCCCGGCTCTTCTTACACCGTAAATACACACTCCTGCTTATTTGTGCAAACCTAATTGAGCGCATATCATTAACTCCTGGAATACTTCAGGCTTTAGTTATTATCTCAAATGACTCCTAAAAATATAACAGCCCACTTAAAAGTTCTAGTGCCTATTTAACTTTTTAAAAGCACAACTTTCCCACATGCTCCACCGTAGCAAGTGCATAGAACAGCATGTATTACTATCGCCAACCAGTCGTTCATTTAAAAACAAAATGCACGCTGTAAAAATACATCTTGCTGACATTAACGTGAGAAACCTGTAGTCCCAGAGATTTACAGAGCGCTTGCTCAGCTGTAATAACCAGTGTACCCACTATAAAGAAAACTGCAGAAAGTGTTTATTCTGATTGGATCTCAGGCGAAGGGAGCGACTGCAGGAATGTAAATGTTCATCGTCATCCTGGACTTGGTTTACAAGATGACATCTCACCATCGCTAGAATTTATCTTTATGTCGACGGTTTCCAAGACGGGGGGGGGGCTCCCCAAACAGCCGCAGAGGGGCCCTAATCTGTCACTGTTCATTACCAGCTTCCTCAGAAACAAACTTCCTGTTTCCATCCAGCAAACCGTTCACAGAGAACGTCGGTAAAGAGCAAAGGCCTTAAAGAGAGCAGGTTCAACTCCCTGTTTAAGTGCATATGAAAGATCAGCTTCTGTAGGTGTCTTTCACAATCACAGAGAGGAAAACTATACGTCTGCAGTGTTTTCTGCACATTTGAATTGGCCTTTTTTCCCGCTTTTGCTTTGGAAAGATCCATTTGTTGGTGATCCTGTGTTTCCCAGAATGCCTTTCAGCGCTCCCACCCCAGGAGAGAACGGGTGTGAACTTTATGCAATCAGCTGCAGATGAATTTAACTCTGATTGGTCTTTCTATATGGTCACATTTACATCATCAGCTAATTGTGAAACAAAAGAAATTTTCTGATAATTAATATTTGAAGTGTTTGTGTGAAATGTGAATCAGTGAAACTACAGTAAACATTTAAAGAATACTAGATGTGTAGTGTTTTCGGGCGGGTTTTCCCTTTAATCTTCCATCTGCTCTCAAATATTTCCTTTAAACTCTTTGACGAAATGCGTCAACATGCGTTTAAATATGACGAACACACGCAGATACACAAACAGCAGTTTTCATGAGACTTGTGCGCACATGCTGGTCTGCACCCACACACAGAAAATTCCAGACCAGATAACACACAGAAGCCTTATTCAGCCCTCACATATATGACCCCACAGCCCTCACACACACACACACACACACACACACACACACACACACACACACAC